GTAGCGCTTCAGTGGGTCAATATCCGCGGGGGGGGGGGAGTCGACTCGTTAGTTCACGCAAATGTGTGCCGAGATTTTATGATGGAAGTCCCCGGGAAAGGCTTTTCAGTTTGTACGTGCCGAACGACGAAGGCTGCATCATACAAGTGACGTTATTCAACTATTAAGCGAAAGAATTAGTGTTCGAGCGCTTAAGCTCAGGGGAAATTTGCATTGCTTATAACCCGTGGATGATCACTTTGTGGGAAGCTACCAATCGCTTGTAAACGTAAGTCAGACATCCCAGCATGCGACTCCTATTGCAAAAACTGACGGTCAAACCCACTCGGAGGCAAAAAAAACTGCTAATGTTGAGCTGATCATGACCAGACTTCACGAAAGCATACAACCCAACAAACCGTGTGGGGCGTGGTAAATGCCTGTAAGCATGGAAATCAACTATAAGAAAATCGATTGCATCTGCCTAACATCCTGGAAACTGACATGAAGTTTATAAAAGCTGGGTTGTCTTGGAAATGACAGAGCGAGTAGTAACTAGCTGAGTGAAATTCAATAAAACCGGGAGGATAAAGGCAAGATACAGTACTGATCTGCTTGGATGAAACACGTTGGATAGCTCGAATCAACTGATACTTGATTTACCAAGCTTGAAAACAGGACCAAACGTTAAGTCATATTGCAGCCAAGGGTTCCAACACGCGTGAGCGTGGGTTTCGAGTGTGATGCGACCAACAGCTGTTAATCTCCAAATAGCCACCTACGAGTTTCAACCCATGACTCTAACATCTGTGCGCCGAAGTGGTTGGTGGATTGTTTACAGTTTGAGGTGGTCTTGTTATCAAAGCAGGTAACTCATCCCCAATCGTAGGCCTACGCAATTATATCACAGACCTGTAAGTAGTATGGAGTCTACAAACAAGGGGACCTCAAAGGTATTCCTCCCATACGATGTGAAGGACTGATGACGGCTAAGGAAAAGACATCAACGACCGAGTCCAACTAATGAACTAGCTGGCTGACACCCTCAGCAAAGAAAAATATGATAAACGATAGATTCTGGTGGGATTCCGGCGAGTCTCTCATGAAGAGCAAATTGGCATGCAAATGAGTGTTCGTCGAACTTCGTTGAAATTGGACTCAAACAGAACACAAGGTTAACGTAAACTCGGCAACTTGGCCTATCTGATGAGCACCAAGAATGCCAAAACCGGCCGTGGATTCCCGAAGATTTTTCAGCAATCTTATGAGTATTTTCACTCATGAAAAAAAGAGAAGTTTGCCACATGATTTCATCGGTAGAGCTAACGGCTTGGCAAAGGCAAATGATCGAACCGCAAACAACGAGAGCCAAAATTTGTGTAATACTCTTTTGAAAGACATGAAACATTTTACACGGACTTCTATGAAGAGTGAAACTACGACATATCAACCCCCGAAGTGAAACTTTCGCTGGAACAATGAAAGGTTAATTAAAATCACAACAAAACTTTAGTCACTTTGAGGAAATGTATGCATGCGTACGAGAAACACCACAAAAAATAGCTTTTCTTGGAGGGAACACTGCATGAATGCTGGTACTAACCCACATGAAAATCTTCCAAAGTACAGTGTTTAAGTGATATATGTTTTGTTCCAAGGCTATGAGAATATCCCAGTTCGACGGTAAAGAAACGCTAGAACTGCAGAATTAATCAAGGGTGTAGGCTAATAGGTATACTATCCTGTAACTGAGTCCATTTCGCCGGTATTTGATCCAATGTGGCTCCAACTGGTGTGGTTTGATCTGCAAACCTTAACTTACGTTTGAAAAGCAACAAACTTGACGAATAAACATGATTGCTGTTTGCGCGGCAGAAGCTGCATTAGGTAGGGCTTCTTAGGTCTCTTCAAGTGTAGGGTGTTTGTCTGGCAATACAAATTCAGTTTGCGTTAAATTAATACTCCACCTCTGGAACACAGAAAATTACCCATAATAATACTGCACCCATACATCACTGCCACCTGCAACCAGCGCCGGTACGGAATGAAATTCTTCCTACTGAATGAATGATCAGTAGCAACTTTATCACGACAATATTACTAGTTTCAGTAGCAATAGTGTTTACTACCCGATTGGTGGGTTTACTATTATTATTGTAACTACTGAGCGGAGCGTGGAGCATCAACATTGGATAGTGAAGAAACGTCCAGAGACGGCGTATTATTTGAAAACCTGCAAGTGCGAGAGCAGACACAGTCTAAGGGGCCAAGGCCAGGAGTGTTAGTCCACTAGCCTCTTCGAGAACGGACAGCCTGTGCAGTCACGCTATTTCTCATTTCTTGGTTTGATCGGCATTTTCAGGACAACAAACTTACAACTTAAGAGGAAGTTCTGTTGGGTCCAAATTCACACTGCCTGCTCTTTTACATTGAACTGTTCTCACTAAATTTCTGGCTTCGCTTTACCTCGTCTCTCTTTGAAGGCCTCAGTCTAATTGAACGGTAATTGGGGTGAACGAGCTAACTCGACCGTTCTTACCGACAACCGGATTTTAGCACGTTACAAACCGCCCTCGTCCCACGTTTCCACCTGGCCTCCATAGCCCACTCTAGTCTGTACGCCTCCAAACCACTGTCTCTATTCCATAGGTTTTAGCACTGTCCTATCCTCCGTCTTCATTTGTCGTGCCGGACAACCGGCCTTTTCTTCGCTCTACCCAAATCTGTCACTCCAGTTGGTCGAACATTTCTTGTACCGGTATGTAAGATGCTGCTGTTGATTATTCTCCTCTTCCATCTAAACTACTCTGTTAGGACTGTACTCAACCATTGTCTATTTAACCATTATATTTCTCACTGTACTATCTCACAGTACAACTAGTTAGGAAACAAACATTATTATTACTGGGCTAACACCATTACTGGCTACTTATTCAGAAGGATAAGTCGTACTGCACTGTTGCTGGCTACGGATAACAGTAACAGGGGCTCAACATGACGACAAAAGCGTTTTCCATGTTCCAGATAAGTATTGCCTTCTCAGTGAAAAGATTTAGTGCATCAAGGTGACGAAGAAGCATATAACAAATAAAAAACTACTCACGGAGGGAAACCGAAGGAAAAAAGTTAAGGTTGACCATTGCAAAAGCACTGAGAAAAAACTTATGTTTACGAACAAATGGTGTTGACATCCATTTGCATATGTGGGCTGCGCCGATCTTCGACTCTTCAATGCACTGCATACAGGTGATTTGCATAAGATTCCGTATGGCGATCAATAGCAGCGAACCTTGTGTGGGAAGTGTTTTAATGAGTTTTGTCCACGAGTCCAATATGACCTGGTTGGTGGTTTGTATCTAGTATCTGGTTACTTCAGTGGAAGGACTAATTGATTATGAAAATGAATCAATAGTTCTTTGATGTGATGACCCACGGCATCAAGCTCAATAGTGGGAATAATGCACCCAACATGTTAAAAAGCTAGACTATTTAACACGAAAAACCCTGAAAATCCTCCCTGAGTGCATGATTCTTCGGTTAACCCGTTCTGATTTCCTGCATAAATTTGGACACTTGAGCCATTGTATTTGCACAGAATCTCGGTCGACATATACACTACAAGGTTCAATTCAATCGGCTGCACAGTTTGTGCGTTGCGCTATATCATGCAATTCCCCGAGACAGGCTATGAAGGCCATCAGAGCAGCGTAAGAATGGATGATTAACTTGTCGGCATCTGATCGCGGCCTGTTCGCCATACCACGGCTCCTGCACAACAAGCCCCGTCTTATGTTTGCGCTGAAGCATATCGACTCACCGATACTGCGCCTCGCTTGCCTTACACCCCGGTCTGCTACGGTCAGTCATGGATAAAATCAGGTGCGAAGTGCTTGATCTGGAAGCATTTGCATATGCATAGCTTATTGTGGGCTGCATGGTACAAGAGCCAGCGACTGGGGAACGCTGATTCACTTCAGACTTCAGCGGATTGACGTGTGCGCTAAAAGGCAGGAAGGGAAGTCTAAAATACAACAAAATGGCCCAGGTAACCTCAACGGTACATGGGTGCTCTGGGGTGCAGACCCAAACACAACAATCAGTTGGGTATCGCGGACCATCTTCCACATTTGTCCTGGCTTCAAAGAAGACATATCCCAAAGAATACATACACTGTTGAACGTATTCAAACGGCTCATCTATGATAATCCTTGAAGCAGTGCAGTACTAATGATTCGAGGCTTTCCTCAGAGAACTAGGTGGTATCCGTCAGACCGCCCGCACTCAGTTGCGCACTGACGATGTCTTCTAGACTGGGAACGAAACGTTTGCAAGCCGATTGCCAAGCTCTGCGAACAGATCATTCGACATCTGCTCAACTGCCGATAGACACACGAGCTACTAATATTTCGATACATTGACATACGTTCGACAAATTCAGGAAATGATAGGGGCACAACAGCTTGCTACTACCTTAGGCATTTACTTTTTGTATGATAGCTTTGTGGTGAAAAGACCAATACTGTCTCGGGATGCACACACAAAATGTGTCAGTCGCCTTCTAGATATTCAATTCGGGGTCTGAAAATCAAACAGGGGACACAAGATTTCTGTTAAAATATGGTAACCGAAACAGTCATCGGTAAGCCGGTGACTAGAAGTTAACTAGCATCTACTAATGCACGAATACCAATATACATAAAATCTGGCACCATTATCTGAAATCATGACGGCACGCCGGCAAAAACAAGTTAGAGAACGAGAAGGGTACAATGTCGCACGGTCTATTTATTTGTTTAAATCTTGCTTACTGGTCGATGAGCTCAGGTCGACGAAATCGGCCACCAATGCCCATATGATCAGAATATCGATCACTACCGACGATAGGGCTCAGGCGGTCGTTCCACACTCCAAGTGATAGTGAGGGTTCCCTTGGTCCAACACGAACAGGGGTGGTATTTCTGAGTGCACCGTGCTCGGGTGAGGTGTACAACCAGGCATGATTAGTTCTGGGAGAGATGGTATGTCTGTTGTAACATTCAGTAGTTGTAGAATCTGAAGCTCCAAGTGGTGTTCGTTCAAGCAGAACGACTTCGCGTAGTGGATCTTCTTCACACACTTCTTCAACGTCCTGTACCAAATCTTCGGCGTCCTCGACCTGGTCAAACCCCTCTTCAGAAGAGGAGCCGTTTTCACCGCCTTCTAGACCATCCCAAACATCATCACTGTCACTGCTCCCAGCGGATTGGTCATTTTCATCTGGTTGCGGCTCGAACTGAAGTGTAAAGAGGATACAAACCATAGACAAACGAAAAGGTCATGTGAATATTTCGAGTCTTTACATTCGATCATTCGACGACACAAATTTATGGGATACTAAGACGCCTCCTTCATGGTAGTTTTCGTTCGGATGGGCGGCCAAAAACTGACTTTCAGGTCTTCAACGTCCATAGTGAGGTCACAGTAAACTCAAAGGGCGCCAAGGTCCGGCTCTATTCTGTTGCATTTTCGACTATTCACTCCAGGTTATTTTCCAAGCAAGTTCTTGCTCACCTTAATGTAAGGAATTCCATCCACGGGAGTTCGGAGAAGCGCTTCGGAACCCCGAATAACTGCTGAATAACAGAACCGCAGTTGGTCCGCTGTCTGAATCACACCCATGCGGCAGCGACGGAGTTTCACAAACAGTTGACTGAGATCAAGGCCTTTCATTGTACCCCGAGTCTCAACCTACAAATGAGAGTATATCAGAAGGGTAAAATCAATCGTTAAAAATGGCTAACAAATTAGCAAATTTTACAGCCTAACCACACTACTCGTCAAGATCGCTTAATTGTTAGTTAACAAACGGAGATGGCTTCACGTTATTTTGTGTGGATCTGAGCCGCAATCTGACCGTATACTACATATGACTTCCTCCCTGAGGACCCGCAAAGTAGGCCAGTCGATCCATTTAACTACTGAAAACCATACCGTGGTCATAAAGCAGTTCTATTCACTAAACTAAGCGAAAGTTCCAGAAAACATACGGACCTACAAGTATCAGAGTGCTTTTTTAATAGCAACATCCATATTTCTGGAATCATAATGATAACGAGGGAAATTTGCATCCGAAAGAGCCTAGGCTTTTATAAAACTCTTCGACAGTCCACGAACGTTTCATTCTTCTTGGGGCTCATGAAACAGGCAGAGTCCCCGAGTTCCCGTCAATGTTATGTTCTAATTGAACACACCGTGAGACTCGCGAAATACACTTATTTGTACATCAATCTGGTTTTAACAGAGGACCCAACTGAATCCCAGCTGGATCTCCTGTTTAAAGATACTGTTCACCTGAATGTGCTGCACAAAGGCTGTCTCATATTTCAGTTCGTACAACATTCAAGATTTCGCAGTACATTTTCTTTCAGGAAACTGAATCTTGACTTGATCATAAACAGGAATTTCAGACAAGTTTCTCGCGAATCGCGAATCCAATCGAATGAGTGTAATCCATGGATTTCGTAAAATCTGCGTTCAAGTAGAACAGCGTTGACAGAACCTCGGGGACTGCACCTAACCGATCAGCTCCAAAATCGAGGCCGGTCGTGGGCTATCATAGGGTTTTCAGAAACGCTATGAGTAGTTCCCTGCATGAAAGTAAACTGAGATACCTCGAATATAGTGCTAAATAGAACACGAGGCAGCCTGCGTGCAGCACATTCAGTCGGACAATGGTGGTTTGTTTGTTCGCTGGGGTGGGCGATTTGATTGCAAACGTTTCATCATGAATCGGGGTGATATCATCAGTGCGTTGTTACGGAGCGCAGTGGTGCCTAGCGATCGCTACACACGCTCTTTCAGCAAAGTCAGATATGAACTTATTACGAAGGTCTACAACACGGACAGATGAGAGCAAACCACCACAAACTCACCAGTGTGAAAAGACAATTGATCCTAGAAAGTTTTGTGTAGGTTATAACCCCAAATCGCAAATGTTCGAAAAAACGGCTGGCTGAAACTCGATTTTATACGCATCTGATTTACTTGGGGGGACGATTAGCAGCCGACATTCTGCTTTCAACAGCGGTAGTGAATCAACTTTCAAGACAGTTGAACGATTAGCAATCCTACACTTCACGGTAGTGTTTTCACGAATAGCCGCACGGCAAACTCAATAATCGACGTAAGTTATGGACGAATTCCTCTCTAGTCAAAGCAAATGAGTCTTTCCAATCTAATAGAAGCTCCAAAGGTGTTGGTTCATTAAAGATATCGTGGCAAAATCTGATTCTACAAAAAGCTCAGGGTATAATTATGCCCGGAAATTGCTCGTGTACAAAAAGCTCGTGCATCGTGGTCGACGAATAATTTTTATTCATCAAACACAACCCAAGTGCACTGGATGAATGAGATCCTCATTTCGGAGCGGACACGAAGTGAACGTATTCATTGTGTCTTACAAAGATGGCATGTGCTTTCGCAATTCGAAACGCAGAATCACCCCGTTCGATACGCGCGGTTCCCATAATGTGGTAGCATATAAGCCCGTTTTGCTCATCTAATAGCCGTTTTTCGTGAAGCTATTTGTTCAGAGATCTGTTCACCCGTTGGTTCGTGCACTTAGTGAAGCAAGCGTGCCTCTGCCCATGCTATTGCATTAAGGATCAAGGATAAACAGCTACGGAATTGGTGAGCACGCACAAGCAGAGCATAAAAAACAGCCACCACCAAACGCAGATAAACACCAGGTGAAGTTAAAGATTCAGCAATAACCGAAAAAAACAGTTGGGGAATGTGAAAGTTTCGTAATGAGTACGAGGGTTTGATGCCTGATGCAAAGGAAATCAACAAACATACAATGAATGACATGTGGAGTGTGGTTTTAGATCAGCCGACTTGATAAGCGGTTGCTGGAGCCAATCATTGAAGAACGGTCTTCAACAGATGTGGTTCTGGTCCGCAGTATAGATCCAATGCCGACTGAAATTCACAGAACCCCCATCCCCGAACCCAAAACCCAATTGTTGTAGAACTTACTGAAACAGACCAACAAAATCTGTGAACAACATCCACGAAATAGCTAAAATGAAATGCTTTGATCGAAAGGAATGCAACATGAAACATCCTCCAAAACCATGGACAGATTCTATCAACACTAAACTGGAAGAGCTTTTAATCAAGGTACGAGTAATTTAGTCTGTCGGCTGGCTGTTTCTTCGTCCGCCTAAAAAACTAGAACAACCAAGTGAATTACTCATCTGATCCGCCGAAGCGGAAGGCTGCGCAGCAATGTGGCTGGCAAATAATTCCAAAAACGAAATAATGTTTTATCAAAATAGCTCGTGAAACGACAAGAGAGGGGGGCCTAAAATGCTAGATGCTTGCAGATAAAAGCAACATAAAAAGAGGAATGATTTAATTTGGAAAGGCAGTTAGAACATATTGGACAGCTTTGGTGCATTGTTTTCTTGTTTGGATACAAGACCAGATGCATTCAGTGGAAAACCACACGAGAATCCTAAAAATGCGCGTCAGCCGCCACACATCTGTACAATAAATTATGACTTTTGGCGAACGCCGGTCAGATTCTTAAAAAGTTTTCCCCAACCTTGAGAACATACGATAAGTCAGCTGGAACTCACTCACAAGATCTTCCATTCCGATATTTTCACCGAGTTTTGCATTAGCAACATGATCAGTGTCGCACGGCTTTTTCCAGGACAAACAGGTTGCAAGCCAACAAGGTTAAAAAAGATCCGCCAGATCTCAATCAGCCAGCGACACCCTCATGTGCTAGCCAATGCTAGTGTAAAATCATGGGACAGAAGGATGATCGCTGGAGGGTAAGTCCCCCTACGTCGCGGGACACCAGATACCACTCGATTTAAGGGGGACGGCAGCGAGGTATTGAACAGGACTTCTTACAGCAGAGATATTTTGGTAGAATTTCAGTGGATCGTAAAGAACGACATTACTTATTTTCCAGGACACAAACCGCCGGCAACTCCGCTCATCCCACGGCTTTCCTAACATGTGGTATGCCATGTATCAGCCCAGCAACAGGTAAGCGAATTAGCCTAATTAGATGCCGATGCACCAAACTTCGGTGTTCAGAGGAAAGAGTACATCAGCTGTCCTTCTGAAACACCACTGCTCCGATTTCACTACACGGTGCATTTAAGTCCTAAGCAACGCTATCACTTTAATGACTCTATCACAGTGGATCCATCGGTAAATCCGACCTTTATCAGACGGCATCCGACCTAAAAATCGGAACCCAGAGAACTTGAATCGCCCAAGAGTCAAAATAGTCAAACACTGCAAGAGACCGATTCACGGTTAGTGGTCGGACTGAAAATGCAGTATAATTGTGCGAAAGCACATGTACTGACCACGCCACTGAAAATCAATCAAAACGGAAACGTCAGATTTATCTACGAGTTCACGCATTTACCGATTTACTTGCGGTTACGGTGATACGTATATTTGTAGAAATGGTATGATAATTGGAACTCGAACACGAGAGCGCGTGCCCAAAACCTACGGACTGTGTCAGCTGACCCCAGCGCAACTCTAACTGAAGTGAAGGTGACAGGACAGGCGTGAACTTTGTTCACCGTCCCAGGTCTTAGCATGACACGAAAGGCCACAAACTGAGATTCTTTGAGGCAGCAATTCCTAGTCGTTTTAAGCCCACTATCTGCGCTCCGAACGATATGACGGTCAGGCTGCAAACCCCTTGATGCTAGTAACTGAGCATGTTCCGTTGAATCTATTATATAAACCGCACAGCATTGTCTCATATCATTTTACACGTTCAGTAGCGTAATAGCGCACGAAATAAGGTAATTCCAAACATTCTTCTTCTGATTGCCTTGTTCAGATTGATCGGGTAATCAAGATGCTTTAAAAGTCAAACTGCACCAAGCTTCTACATCCGAAACGTCCAAACGTGACCGATTTCGAAAAACAGGATCGATTCTCCAATGCAATTAGTAAACAGACAGCAACCAAAATAAATCCGGCTAACAGATTCTAGCATACCACACTATTCCTTACAATGACGCCATCCCGAATGTGAGTGTGTAGACGTGCACAACGAGCGCAGCATTAGATTAGTCTTCCTTCCATAATGTGATCAACCTTATGATATGACCGAGGCCGTGATATGAGGACTACTGAATAACGAAAAACCACAGATAGGTTCGATAGCTACAACAGGTCGCCGCGTAACTTAGAAGCATCGTAGATATAGGATTAAAATGGCCAAAAAGTTTGTTCGGAAAGATGATTCCAATGCGCTCAACTGTCAGTCTATGCAGGCAGACTACCCATCACTCGAGAGAGAACAAGCTATAGTGGTCAGAAAGCCCAATATTATAAGGGCTAACCCAAGTGTCGACGATTTCCCGATGCTAGTTTACCCTATCCGTTGGGTTTCAGATCGGAACCCAGTCCAACAACCCATCCTTTGCAATGCCTAGAGTGAGCTGACGAAGGACCATGACGAAGAACCGACGAGATGGACAGGACACATTTTAGTGTTCTATTCGACGGCCCCTCTGACCACCAGGTACCAAACCCTGCCAGCACAATTTCAACACACAATCTGGTGACATGGAGCCTCCGAGTCAACCGGACTTGACATAACTGGCGATACCAATGAAATAAAAGAAAACCCTTGTATCGAGGGAGTTGCAGGTCCAGTTCGTCAGCTATTGCTACATCTAGCTACAAAATGTTAAGTCCAAGATAGGCTACCAAAGTGCGTTTATAAGAGTGGGACACTTCGATATCACTTATGGTGTTCAGTAAAAAATGACGGCTCAGTAAAAGCTACCGAGGAAACGCTCTGACAGACACGGTAACCAAACTTTTTATCATTTTACTCCTACATCACCCGATTCCGAAACCACACTGAAGGTGGATTCAGCCAGGATCATGGTTGAGTGGGCGCACTTAATTTTGCTTCTGTTCTGTTTCGGAACGCCACCTTGATTCCCAAAAGCCAACCACTGACTGTTCTAAAGATTTCCTGCGGTTCGATCCGGGAGGTGGTGGCACATTGGAGCTGCTGATTTTTAAAAAGTTGAAAAAACGAGTGGCCGAATCCACCAATGTGTTGTAGGAACAACACTATTCGACCTAGAATCCGAATTACAAGGCCATCCGATACTGCAATCTAATTTCTGCCAAACCATATGGGCTTTTGTTTAAATGTTGTCACTCTGACAGTACCCCAGCACGCATAGGACCATAAGCTCCATGACTAAAAGTATCCTCATACTACCGCTTGGCAAACTATCTTGCGCAACATTTCAGCCGGTCATCTAGTACTTTCCATCCGGGCATCCGACATGTAACAGAAACACGGATTGTGAATATGGAACTCTCATCAGCATTAGAAGTGTTCAAGTGCATATTCATATTCGAGCGTCATCGTCTCAACGACGTTCCATCTGTTCTGTTCAAAAAGGACGTTGAATTCCTCAGTCAGGGCCTATCCAACTTATTTCCATCTATCTGAGAGAAAGAGACCATCCCAGTCAACTGCGGTGGGTACTAGCAGTAAATGTAGCAACGACAGAGGTGTTGATTTGATCTAATGGGGCTTTTGGCGCTGCTGACCGGCATCGTCTTCGAGAGTAACCCGAAGCCCTGAGTCGTTGGCGTCAAGCTATACACAACCACAGCCATACTCGACACACAACTATGCATGTGGTGTTACCGAGTGCGAAGCCACTGGATTTGTGACCCTGACACTCCTTGATGCGAGGTGCTCTATCCCCTCGGGCACAGAGTAGAACTCGGCTATGCAATCGATTAGACGACCCGCTCAAACGTAGTGTACGCACAAACAGGGGTGGTGGGAGTTAAAGTCCAAGAAATAGAAGAGGTCAGTAGGGCTTGGAATGTACGGAAGCTTTCGGATAATTCGCAGCTCATTTGTATGTGAGTTCACCAGACATAATATTGGGAACCTAGTGCGTAAGGATCAGCTTGCAGCTTGCTGGATGGAATGGCAAAACTTCAGTTGGCACTCTGCTCCTGTGCCTGTCTGTTATTGGACCAGCAGTCTGTGAGTATAGATCTCCCTTGTTGACTTAAAAACACCATCGGGCTGTTGGGTCAGATAAACTTCTTCGAGTGGAGAATCTTGGTGCTCCAATTTTACTAGGTTATTCGTACGCATCTTGAAACAAGAACGTGCTCCAGGAATTGGGGGCAATCAGTGATCGTACCCATGATCAGGAAAGGTACGCAAACTGGCTTTACTCCTGTCCTAACATAGCTACTATGGCAGTCCTCAATTTTGTGGATAGATTAGCTCTGGTCATGATGAAATCCCTTGGAGTTCGTAAACATTCACTGCATGCGTTATCCCCATACTTCCAGTCCGGTTAGGGTGTACATAAGGTGCACAAGCATCCTGACAACTAGCTTTGTTCAATTTTGTTACCGATGATATCATAGACTGTACACTCCGAGAGATCATGAGCCTAGTTATCGAAATCACTTCCGCATAAGGATTAACGGATCTGGATTTCGTTTTTGTTTGACGGTTAAACATAATATCGGAGGTGATCCAAGGTTTCGGTATGCGTTTGGCACCATCAAATTCCCATCGTCTTGTACTTCTCCAAAACTTCAGAATGAAGAGCTTGCGTTCGAAGACCAGTACATATATCTCGGCAGCTGCGGAAGCTGACTGTAGTCTAAAAGGTGAAGTCGATGCGCGAGTAGCGTTCGCCGACTTGGGCCATTTATGATATCCGAACCGAATTTCGCTGAAACTAAGGAGCCATATGAACAAGACAATTGTAACAGCAGTCTCACCTAATGGTTGAAATTTCGTCTTTCCGATTGACCACCGGTGTCCCCGTAATACAGCAAGAATAAGCTGGATGCAGCAAGTAGCTGACGAGGTGGTGTGTAAGTGGGACTTGGTGACGAATGCGAATAATAAAAGCAGCAGAGTTAACGTGCAAGGTTGGGCATGTGTTGCGCATACCCAAGAAGGCACTGTTTTCCGTTCTAATCAGTTGTTGACGAAAGATTCATGCGAAACAGATCATAACGTGGTATCGTGAAACGAAAGCGGTTTCAGTCAAAGAATGTTGTCGGATCTTCGCGCCTTCCTGGGCGAGGCTCACGTGATTTTTCCCGAAGGCGGTTGGAAACTCTGCAGGACACGACATGAAACTGATACCGGTGGCGTGCGTGCTATCATTTTCTAGCCGGACTGCCTAGCTAAAGTCCGCCTTTCGTTATGGACTGGGCTTATGTAGGCTGAGGTTGGCAAAAAACGCCGGGTCATCTTCTCTGATGGCATATCAGTTCGACACGATACTCAGATGTGTTTATTTTAATGCTGTCNATGTAGGGACCTCCACACTAAGCAAATAAAATAAAATAAAAATTCAGTCGTAATACCATTTCGGTGTCTAGCTGCCATTCCGCCCGAAGGGAGCACGAGGGCTGGGATACTGTCATGTTGCCCAAGCCTAGACAGGGAAAGTCGAGAGTCTGACCACAGACTTTTCGGTCAGCGAATTCGCACACCGACCACTCGAGTCATCTCGTCCCCTACCCTTCAATTCTCTTTCGACTCTTTAATAAGGTTTTCTTTCATGGTTGCATGGTCAATATGTAGCACTGGTGCATTGGCGCCAATAGTGATGTTGAAGGTGATCAGTGACAGCTGACAAATCAGAACTGCGTACCTCATCAGAGTGATCACAGTAATGAAATAGACTATGGGATGTAGGACAAACTTACCAGGTGTAAGGCAAGATCAATGAGAACAAATGTCCCGGATCTGCCTACACCAGCACTGCAGTGCACGACTGCCGGGTGTTCTGCATCAGACAAGGCATCTGTCGCTCGGACAGCCCAGAGGAAGTTCAACATCCCACTAGGCGATTTTGGGACACCAAAATCCGGCCAGCTTGTGTAGTGCATATGGATCAGCTGATGTCGCTCTCCAGTCTGAAAGGACATGGTTGAAAAAATCGAAAAGGAAATCACATGCTCTACAAAGGTATATCGAATATAAAAATACGGTCAGAATGGATATCAGCGGATGATCGTGCTTGACAACGAAAACAGACGGATTAACGAACAAGGCGTTAGGTGAGTCCACAACGTGGATGCAAATGAAAAAAAATACATTGCAGATTGGTGTTTTGTACTCCCCCTAACTGAAGTACGTCACAGTCCCCAGGAAAACACAAAATCAATTCCATCAATAATCAGAAGTGTACCCTCTATTCGTCTGCGTAACATATTATCTCTGAGGCAAATGCACACAGACACACATGCCATTCCTTGATCAAGGTCGATATTTGTACAAAACTACATCGGACTTGTCACATGATCAGCCAGTTCGTTTTCGTCAGGACCATTTATTCCGTGGCTATAGTATGGGGGCAGTATCAAAGTCAATGAACTGGTGCACCGCTGGAGAGTTCAACTGTTAGTGTCGCATGGTTGCTGTGGTTAGGAAAAACGCAAACGTTCGGAATGGACTATGGGCGAAAAGCCCACTGAGATGGGTCACTGTGTAATGAACGAGCAGTGAATCTGAACTTAGCTTGGTGCACCAAATTTTACCCTGACATTTGCTAGTGTATTCAAGGAATCTGTGTATTACCCCGAGGCGCCGAATACCCTATTGGAAACTGTTCAAACGCACATAAAACACAGAGATCCATTTGGAGCGTGAATGAAATGTTGGCTGTTCGAAAACCTTTTATCCCTTGGTTATCTCCCACGCATGAGAAGTGATCCAATAGGCGGCCGAAAATCAGAGTGGGCGTGTAACATTTCCGCCGTCATTTTCTTGTCATCCATCGACTGTGTACTTGCTCACTGTAAGGTTAGCAACTTCGAGTCGTTTAACAGCAGTGGTCATGCGACAAAACGATTACAACTGAAGTCTCATACATGAATCCTTGTGACTGTAAAAGAGACGAATTCGCGGAAACGATTTTGGACTTAAAGATTCGTACCATCTGGACTAACAGAGCTGCTAAAATGTGCCATACGCTCAAAACTCCAGGACCTCGCCATAAATTTGTGAGGCTGCTCGGAGGCCTTAAGTCCTATAGCATGGCTGTGCAGAAAAGCAGATGCTAAAAGATGGCACCAATCAGGTCATCTTTCCTGAGAACATACAAGTTCCTTTTCCGAAATGACAATGGCATTTGAATAACCTACAACACAGACGATTAGAGTGAGGAGACCCGGGCAAAGTGATCAATAACGACGGAATTTACTGTTCGTAAAAAAGTTTTCGGCACCCTGCTGCCTACAGGACTGAAGATGTGTACGTACGGAAAATAGAATACACCCACATGTTTAAGACATGTTCGGAAGAATGAATTAGGTGGAGCCGATTAATTCATGAGGCTAAGGAATCCTACAAATGCGGTGCCACTTTACTATATAAGTACTAGCCAAGAAGAATTTGGCCTGGTTCTCTCGAGCCAAAGTCCTGCGTGCCCCGTAGGTAGACGAACAACGGATGTTGATCCCAAGTGGACATTAATATTGATTCGTTGCAGCCAGTCAGGGTGGACCTACTCTACTGAATCAATACAAATAAGGTAGACAGGCATTGACTCACTAATCCACTTCCATCATATAACAACGAAGCGGGGTATTATCGACACGAGAGACCCGGTGGCACTCGAGTGTAAAGGATCATTAAGTTGCATACGAGGATAAAAGAGATCGAATGCTCACATTTCACCTTCCGGTTGCCGGTAACAGTCCGTTTGAACATCAGGTGACCAGTTGTTTATATTCATCATTGACTACATAATGAGGCGAACCCTGGGAGATCTACAAACCCCCAATTTTCAATTCGTTTCTGGTGAGAATCTTATCGGCATGGAGTACGCAGACGACACCGTTCACATTTTTGAAGACGAAAACCAAGCAAATCCTCTGTTGAACAAACTGCCAACAATCATTCAGTACGTACCTTACGCCTCTGAAGTGCATTCATGCTTCAGAATGTGCCGTCTCTGAATATGCCCTCTGCAATTCAACGAGAAACACTGGAGGCTGTGGAGAATTTTACCTCGGTAGTTGTATTAACTCATAGGGAAGTGTCCCGTGAAGTCAGTGCACCAACCTCAGAGGCCCAAATCACGTTTGCTAATTTGCGTCATCCGTGGCACCGAAAAAGTACATCATCACTGGATCTCAGTTCAGTTTTGTTTATCAGCTCAAAAACTGTGCACCGAAATGCAGTGGCTCCAGCTACTACAGCTTCTTTTACCCAGGAGAAGGAGAACAAGAGAATAAGCGAAACGCACAGACGGCAGTGGTCCAAGCTGTTCATTCGCATCAGTTTACCGGTATGGTAGAGGGTGAGACTGTGAAGACGATAGCGCTTGATGCAAGACTGTTATTGACTACATGACACAGCCACGCCCGTCAAGTTGACCACCATCGGTTTGTCTCGTTCCGGGGTCTCCACCCGAGAAGACGGAAGTTACCGACGCGACTCAGTTGACTGGTTAGAATTTCGTGCCAATTTGTGGACTGAAAACCTCCGATGTGTGTCTCCATCCGATATATGACAGGGCGAAGAGGGCTCTACCAGGCAAACGGTCCTCTGGCATCTGAAGTATACGGTATAACAGTTGTCACTCGCTCCATGCTTCAAGAGCACCGATGGTCTTCGACGGTTCACCACACACAGCTTATACAAATATCTCAGGATAGCAAACGCTGCTATGGGCTTCCCAATTCGCAAGTAAGTCGGAACCTATGCAAATGCCCAAGTAGTCGAAATTACCTACTACATCGGCCGGTTCACCCACAGGCATGAGGTTTAGGTTTGATCCCACGAAAATTACAGCGGAATCATTTAGGCTATTTGAAATTGTTTGCAATTCCGAATGGTTGGATCCAAGAATGGCAAAGCAGCCAGTGTACTCAGGGAGTACGCTATCTCTCGAGTTGTGAGAGGCAGGTAAAGGATGCTAAAACGGCATATCAATTACGATGCTCAAGAGGAAAGGTTACAGAGAGCACTCGAACTTAACACCATAGGTCGTCGTGAACACAGATAATTTGCCGTACGCGTCCAAAGGAGGTATATACGGCTTCATAAGAGACACGATTTTAAAGAGGACACCCTTCGTCACCAGACTTTACCACGGTTTCTGACGATCAACTGATCTGAGATCGAGAGAAACGATCATTGTTGGTCATCGGAAAGAGTAATGCCAATCTGACTCCTTCGATGATGGACCAGCCTGTGTGGGATAATACCAGAGAACACCTTAGAAGCCATAAACACCAAGCTGACGCTATGGTGGTTTTCGCACGATGTTTGTGCACACATTTTATAGAAAGGAAGTCTGGTCGAGGCACTCCATTCTGTCAGTGAAATTCCCATAATTCCAAATAATTTGAGGTACCATTGTCACCACGAAATAGCCATCTCATTTGAAGAGTTCAGGGTGCAGACTATCTGGACCAGGTGGTTTATAGCGCTGAAGAAACGAAACTGCACCCTTGGCTTCCATTTCCGATGACGGACTGTTATCAGAATTCTATCTGGTTTCATTTGGTCGTTTCAGAAAATGAACTCAGAGGGGGTACCTGAAGTATTGTTCAAAGAGACCAAAAACCCCATCGCAAAAGACGACGCTCTTGGTCCGTCTGGGAATCCTCATCCAGAAAGATCGAAGTGACCGCGGGAACCTAAACCAGTTTTGGCGCATTCCTTTCGGAGTGACAGGCGGGGTTGCGTGCTTCCAACGAGCGTCGAACAATAACAACAAAGCCGAACAGGTGAAAGACACATTTGCCTACACTAATAACGTTAGTGTATGCTGTAAGACGAGAGATGAACATGACCGCAATCTTACACATTCTCTCGATATCACTAAAGCATACGGTAATACTTTGAACAACACAAAAAGCAGCTCCACAACTGAAGAGATTACTCTTTTGGGTTAGGTCTCCAAACGTATTATAAGAACTGACCCAGAACGCATACGCCCAGAAAAGAACCCCCAATTCCACAGAACGGAAAATCGCAGCAGAGAGCCGTTGGTCTGTTCACCTGCTGCTAACAAAGGATACCGGCGTTTTCTGACCGGATTCAGCATCTGCGAACCCTCAGCAAGAATTTGAGAATGCGAAGATCGCTACCGTTGACCACCACATCTCTCACGTTATCGAAACCGATGCACTCAACATCGCTATTGGTGCATCCCGGCAATGAAGCATCAGTGCCAACACTGATGTTGCTGTCTTTGATGATGTTCCCTCAGATAGGGTAACCGGCCGGTAGCCTTTTCCTTCAGGAGCATGACCGCAAGCGAGAAAAACCATTCTGCTGTCGAAAAAGAAGCATACACTATTGTCGAAATGATCCTCAAATGACGACACTTTTAAACTGATTACGGATCAAGGTTCGGTCGCTTTTATGTACGGGAACCGACAGAAGACTAAAATAAAGAATGACAAGATTGAACCGAATTGGCAGTGTACAAATACGACGCGTTCCTGATGCGCTATCTTGTAACCTTTGTGTCAACATTGTTGAGAGATAGAAACTCGACGAGCTTCACAAGATATAATGCCATCCCGAGGTCACGAGGTTTGCGCGTCTTGTTCATTCTAAGAACCTTCCTTTTTCAGTCAGCGATATCCGAAGTGTAATCTCCAATCGTTCCACATTCTCCTAATTCAAACCAAAATTTCGTGACCCTTTTTGTGGCCAAATTACCAAGGCCACATAACTTTTTGAGCGCGTTATTATTCACTTTAAAGGTCCACTTGCCTCAAACACTCGTAACAAGTACCTCTTAACAATCGTTGATAAGTACTTGTGACTCCCTTTTGCTTATTCTCGCGCCTATCCTATTCCACTGTGATTCACTGTTTGGTATACATTCTCTCAGATCGCGGTTCTACGTTCATGTCAACTGAACCCAAACAGGTTTTGTTTCCACTGGCCA